ACGGGTATTCTACCCAAGGTGTGGTCGGTGTTCGCTAGCCCTTTGGAGCCCTTAGGCCCACTTTTTGCCACTTGTTTACCCTTCCTTTGGCTCGTTACAATGCTCGCAGCATGGGCTGTGACCCTCTGCTGCACTTTCGCGCGATCTGCAAACGTTTTTGGTGATTGCACTGCTTCATTTGATTTGGGTGGCACGCCCTGGTCCAAACGGTTCAATCTTCAGTTGACCGTTTGGAGAGTATTTTCGAACCTCTCTAGGTAGTTTCTGATGACAGGGTTAAGTTGTGAACTTGAGGGGATGTCCCCCACAACATTTTGCAGAGTCGAAGGGACCCTGGGGGAGATGCCCCCCTGCATTTGGGGGATCTCCTCATCACCCTGATTGGTCTGCTCAGGTTCAAGTCGGCGAGCCATTTGCTATTGTAGGACCCGTAAGTTAGAGATTCTCCTGATGAAGGACGAATGGTAAATCAAGCCCTCCTTCTAGCGCCAAACTGTTGATGTGTGATTTTTACACCAACCAAACGCACGTGTGAGACGCCGAACTGACCTTGGAGACACACGTGAAAGGGAAAAAGGGAGTAAAAGTAAAGAACAGTGTTTAAAGTGGTTCGGATGCTAAGGAAGCAAGTCCTACGTCCACTGATTTTTGTATTGATAATAGTGGTTAGGTCGCATTCAGCGGACTGACTTACAAATTATTACAAGAGAGTGAATGCTATTTTTCTAAGAAAAGGTTAGCTAAATCCTCAAATGAGAGAGGAACCCTTAATTTATAGTGGGATGGATTAAGGTTATGATTACTAAATTTGTGAGTTGGTGAGATTATCCATGCAAATCCTTCTTTATGTCCCATTGCCCACCTTCCAGAGTGATTTACGCGATTTGGTGCAGGGATTAGACACGTGGAGTCGCTATAGCTCTTGGCTGGACTGATGCATACCTACCGTCCTGACAAGAGCATGCTGTCTCTGTCATTGTATGACGTGGCCACCTCTGACTAGCCGCGAGTGTTCCCATGTTCTAACTTTTGCATGCTGACTGGGCCTTACGTCAGCCCTGCCTTCTTTGGGCATAACAATTACCAATAAGTCCTTTACAATTGTAATATAGAATTGTATCCAGAAGTTGAACCATTCTGTTTTATTGTGAGATCAAAGATGTAGCTCTATTTAGATTAAATTATATCATTATAGGGATTTTATTGGATATATTATATGCTGAATTTGGATAATTGTAGGCCCCTTGTCAAACCAATCATTTTATCATCACACACGTTTCAGTTTTCTCGTTTCTTGGTTTCCATTGAACAGTTAGTAGTAAATTAACTATAACTTGCTCAATAAAGATCCATTTGACCAACGGTTTGAATCTTTGTAAACTAGACATATAGGGCTTTAATTTGATATATTATACGCTAAATTTGGATAATTGTAGATCCATTACCGATCCACTCATTAATCATCACACACATTTCGATTTTCCTCGTTTCTCGGTTTCCGTTAAACATTCAATTGTAAATTGACAAGAACTTGCTCAATAAACATCCAATTGATGAATAGTTTGAATCTTTGGAAACTAGATAGATAGTGCTTTAATTTGATATATATGCTGAATTTGATATATTATACGCTGTATTTGGATAACTGCAGACAACACTTCCAAACGATTCATTTTGTCACTACACACATTTCAATTTCTCCCCACTTCTTGGTTTCTACCAGACAGTCAGTACTAAATTGAATATAATTTGCTCAATAAAGATCCAATTGATGAATGGTTTAAATCTTTGGCAAATAGACAGGCAGGAAATTAATTTTATATGTAATAAACTGAATTTGGATAATTGTGACCCACAACTGAACCATTTATTTTATTATCACACACATTTCGGTTTTTCCTAGTTTCACTAAATAGTCAGTAGTCAATTGACTATAACTTGCTAAATAAAAATCTAATAGACAAACAATTTGACTTTTTGGAAACTAGATAAATAGGGCTTTAATTTAGTATATTATACGCTGAATTTGGATAACTGTAGATCCATTGCTGAACCATTAATTTTATCACACACACATTTTGGTTTCCCTAGTTTCTCAGTTTCTAGTGAACAATTAGTAGTCAACTAACCATAACTTGCTTAATAAAAATCCAATTGAAGAACAGTTTGAATCTTTAGAAACTACATAGACAGACCTTTAATTTGATATATCATATGCTGAATTTGGATAACTGTAAACCCACTGCTGAACTATGCATTTTAGCACCACACATATTTTGGTTTCTCCTGTTTCCACTAAACAGTCAGTAGGAACTTGACCATAACTTACTCAGTAAAAATCCAATTGACAAACAGTTTGAATATTTGGAAACTAGATAGACAGGACTTTAATTTGATATATTATACGTTGAATTTGGATAGTTGTAGAGCCATTTCTGTACCATTCATTTTATTATTACACACATTTTGGTTTCCCTTATTTCTCAGTTTCCATTGAACAGTTTGTAATAGATGGGCCATAACTTGCTCAGTGAAAATCTAATTGATGAGTGGTTTTAATATTTGAAAACTAGACAAACAGGGCTTTAATTTGATATATTATAAGATGAATTTGGATAACTATAGACTCAAAGCCAAACCATACATTTTATCATCACATAATTTTAGTTTCCCCTATTTCTCGGTTTCCACTAAATAGTTAGTAGTAAATTGACCATAACGTGCTTAATAAAAATCCAATTGATAAACAGTTTGAATCTCTGGAAACTTGTTAAACAGGGCTTTAATTTAATATATTATACTCTTAATTTGGATAACTATAGACCAATTTCTGAAAAATTCATTTTATTATTACACACATTTTTATTTCTCCCATTTCTCGGTTTCCACTGAATAGTTAGTATTAAATTGACCATAACATGCTTAATAAAAATCCAATTGACGAACAGTTTTAATATTTGAAAACTAAACAGAAAGAACTTTTTAATTCAATATATTATACTCTGAATTTGGATAACTGCAAACCTACTACCGAACTATTCATTTTATCACCACACACGTTTGGTTTCCCCTGTTTCTCGATTTCCATTAAATAATCAGTAGTAAATTGATCATAACTTACTCAATAAACATCTAATTGATGAATGGTTTGAATCTTTGGAAACTAGACAAACAAGGCTTTTATTATTATACTGTACGCTGAATTTGAATAACTATAGACCAACTATTGAACTATTAATTTTATCATCACATGCATTTTGATTTCTCCCGTTTCTCGGTTTCTATTGAACAGTCAATAGTAAATTGGCCATAACTTTCTCAATAAAAATCCAATTTATAAACGGTTTAAATACTTAGAAACTACACAGACAAGCCTTTAATTTGATATATAATATATTAAATTTGGATAATTGTGGGTCCACATCTGAACCATTAATTTTATCATTACATACATTTTGGTTTCCCTTGTTTCTCATTTTCCACTTAACAGTCAATAGTTAATTGATCATAACTTGTTCACTAAATATCCAATTGACGAACGGTTTGAATATTTGAAAACTGGACAGACAGGTCTTTAATTTGATATATTATACGTGGAATTTGGATAACTATAGACCCACTGCTGAACCATAAATTTTAGCATCACACACATTTTAGTTTCCTCCATTTCTCGGTTTCCACTAACCAATCAGTAGGGAATTGACCATAACTTGGTCAATAAAAATCCAATTGACAAACAATTTGAATATTTGGAAACTAGATAGACAAGTCTTCAATTTGATATATAATATGCTGAATTTGGATAAATGTAGACCAATTTTTTTAGACCATTCGTTTTATCATCACATACATTTATGTTTCCCCCATTTCTCGGTTTCCACTAAATAATTAGTAGGAAATCGACCATAACTTGCTTAATAAAAACTCAATTAACAAACAGTTTGAATCTTTAAAAACTAGACAGACAGGACTTTAATTTGATATATTATACATTGAATTTGAATAATTGTAGAGCTATTTCTGAATCATTCATTTTATCACCATACATATTTTGGTTTTCTTGTTTCTTCGTTTTTATTGAACAGTCAATAATAGATGGGCCATAACTTGCTTAGTGAAAATCCAATTGATGAGTGATTTTAATCTTTGAAAACTAGACAGACATGATTTTAATTTGATATATTATACGATGAATTTAGATAATTGTAGACCTTTCCAATTGTGGTTGAACCACACTTAAAAGAAATGACAAGTTGTTTAAAACAATGTATGAAATGACATCATTTTTAAACGTTAGAGATTTTGACGCTAAGTAATGACCACACACAATGAAATCATAATGTAAAACTATATGTAATTAAAATCTTTAATTTGATAGACCTATACAATGTATGTACCTCAATATTAGATATCAACCAATTAAAACATCCAATTGTTCAAAAAAACGTGATGTCAAAACCAATATCATAAGCAACGTGTGCAATGCATCGGGCTTTCAACTAGTTCTTCAATAATTTCAAAGCATATTATATTCCTTTTTTCCGTAAAACGAACTTCTCCTCTAGACGTCTACACACTTTTATTGTCCTTTCTACAAAACAAGTAGTAATTCATCATTTTACCCTTCAAACAACTAGTCTTGTGGTCGGACAGTAAGAATTTACTCGTCTATAAGATTATTCAAAGGTTTTGTATTGAGTCTCATAAAGTGACACCTCAAAACGCTATACATATATATCTACATGCTTACGAGTTACGAGGTATAAATCAATTTTCTAACACTTACTAAATTCAAACAAACGGGACGGCTTTACAATTCAATTAAGCATATTAATTTCTTAATTTTGGGTAATTAAAAATAATGCCTAACACCAACTGGATAATTTGTCTTTATGCTAAGTCAATGGCTACAAGGGGAGACATTGTCAGAGCATCTTCCGCGAAGTGTGCTTGCTACTGCCAAAAATTAATTGAATATTGGAATGAGGCTCCGTTGAAGGTGAATGCATGATACATTATTGAAGATTGTATTTGACCAATCTCTCTCTTCTCATCTGAACACTTACTAAAAGGATTCTGCGTGTTGGATCTGGGTAATTTCTCGATCAGTAGAAGTTCTTGATATTCTGCCAACTGATCTGAAAAAGAGCCGTTCTCATCAGTAGAAGTTGATGGCTTCATCTGATTCTCCTCAAGAAAAGTATGATGTTTTTCTTAGTTTTAGAGGCGAGGACACCCGCTACAATTTTACCAGCCATCTCTACGGCACTCTGATTCGGGCGAATATTTCAACTTTTATTGATAATCAACTTAATAGAGGAGAAGAAATTTCGTCATCTCTTTTGAATGTAATAAGAGAATCAAAGATTTATGTTATCATTTTTTCAGAACGCTATGGATCTTCCAGATGGTGCCTCGAAGAACTTCGGGAGATCATTAATGGACGAAGGAATATGAATGGTCAAATCGTAATACCAGTCTTTTATCTCGTAGATCCATCAGATGTAAGAAATCAAACTGGAACTTTTGGAGATGGATTTGCTAAGCTTAACAAACGTTTTGCACTGAGTTTAACGAAGAAATGGAGGAATGCTTTGACGGAAGCAGCAAACTTATCTGGCTGGCCTTTAGATGCCACTGAGTAAGTGTACTTACATCCTCACTATGAATTACTTTTTATTTAGTTATTTGTTTTATTTTTATTGAAATTCATAGTTGATAGATCTCTTAATGCGTCCCTTCGATTAGATTAATAGTAAGTTAAATGAGTCATTTTCTAACCTAAGAGGTTGGTTGACGGTCAATTATTATTATTATTATTATTATTATTTTTTTTTTTTTTTTGGGTTCGTGCTAATTTGCATGTATCTCAACTTTGATGTCCTAAAGTGAACAATCGGATAAATCTCTTCAGTGACCACCACTATTAGTGCCTAAGGGGACTTGAACTTAGGAATCTACATTGGACTCTTTTGCTCTTTTACTATCAGGCCAACCAATAGTAGTTTGATAAAAAATGTTTACTCTCTTCATTGATTTCCTAAGTTCAAAATACCTTCAAACTATCTATCACATTATTTGTGGTTTATCTTAAAACATTAGTCTTATAGAGTATTCAATAGGTCCTGAAGATTGGGTGTAAGCGGACCCTAACACCCCATTCATTAAAAAAAAAAAGTTATTTTCTAATTAATTAATTTTAATTAGCAACTTTGAAGAGGGAGAATTTTGTGGGAGAAATTTCTTGATCAATTATTACTTATCGACATTAACTAACAGAATTAAAGATAATGTAAGTTTGATTTGTTTACATATTTTTTAATTGTTTGTTTTCTATATTTGTTAGGTCGGAATATGATCGTATAGAGGATATTGTCAAACATGTTTTGAGGACATTGATTCATATGTACCCAAGTGATCATGACAAGAATTTAGTAGGAGTACAATCAAGCATGAACAAAATTGAAACTTTATTACGCAAAGGGTTAAAAGATGTTTTCAATGTAGCAATATGGGGAATGGGCGGTATAGGTAAAACAACTATTGCAAGAGTTGTATTCGACAAAATTTTTAAGGAGTTTGATGATTATTTCTTTGCTCTAAATGTTAGCGAAGCGGTAGGCATATCTTTGCAGAAAGAACTTTTTTCTGCAATTTTACAAGATGAAAAAGCCAATCTAGCTTGCGAGTTAACAAGGAAAAGACTTGGGCATAAAAAAGTTCTTATCGTTTTTGATAATGTGGAGTCCATAAAACAAATAACAGATTTGATTGGAGATCTTAATTGTTTTGGTTTAGGAAGTCGATTCATTATAACAACAAGAAACAAACAAGTGCTTAAAAATTGTGGAGTTGATGACACTAATATATACAAGGTTGAGAGATTGTTTCATCATGAAGCTTTTCAGCTTTTTAGTTGGCATGCCTTTCAACAAAAGTATCCAACTTCAGGTTATCGTGAGCTGTCAGAAAGGGTAATAGAGTATGCAAATGGTGTTCCATTAGCTCTCACTGTGTTGGGTTCCATTTTATTTGGCAAAACAAAAGAAGTTTGGGAAAGTGCCATAAAAAAACTACAAACAATGCCTTGTAAGGATATTCAAGACGTGCTAAAAGTCAGTTATGATGGATTAGATCGTAAGTAAAAAGATATCTTTTTAAATATTGCATGTTTTTTCGAATGGGAGAATGAAGATCTGGTAATTAAATTTTTTAATACCGATACCTTTGACGCAACTTTTGATATAACTGTTCTTATCGACAAATGTCTCATAAGTGTGTCAAGTAATAAGATAATAATGCATGAGTTACTTCGAGAAATGGGCAAGGGAATTATACAAGAATCCTCTCAACATCCTGAAGAACGAAGTCGTTTGTGGCATCATAAAGATATCTATCCTATACTGGAAGAATCCATGGTAAGATCACAGATATTACTTTTACATTTACGTTATATAAAGAAGCGCACATATGTACATCATGCTAAGTATATTCAATTATTAAAATTTTGGAAATTATCTTCTAAGAATCCTATATAATTTCCTTAAAAAAGATGTCGTATTTGAACTACTAAAATGTAAAAGTAAGCTTTAATGAATTAATGCCTACCATTTTTTTCTTGTTTATTAGGGAACTAGAGCAATTGAAGGCATATGGTTTGACATGTTTGAAGGAAGTAAGATAGAATTAAGTCCTCATGTTTTTCGAGAGATGAAAAGGCTAAGATTCTTGAAGATATATAATTCTTACTGTGAAAAGGATAACATCAGTAAAATTGATGTTTCCCAAGGCCTTGAATCTCCTTTCACTAAGCTAAGATACTTCTGTTGGCACGGATGCCCGTTGAATCCCTTGCAGTTGAAGTTTTATCCACAAAACCTTGTTGTACTCGACATGCCTTATACTGATATTGAACAACTTTGGACTGATACACAGGTATATGTTTGTATTTAAATTACAGTCTTTTGTTGTAAATTATAAGGATGATGTATATATATGCATGCTAATATGCTAATTTGTATTGGTTATTTTTTTATTTTTTTTTTTTTTCGGTTACAGGATCCTAAAAATTTAAAAAGTATGAACCTCAGTTACTCCAAAAATTTACTCAAAATCCCAGACCTCTCACTTGCCAGAAATCTGGAGAGCTTAATTCTAGAAGGTTGTACAAAATTGTCTGAGATTTGCTCATCTATTCGATGTCTCAACAATCTGGTTATCTTGAATCTCAAATGCTGCCAAAGTCTTTCTAGTCTTCCACGGGCATTCATTCACAATCTCTCAGAAAAGTTATTCTTTCTTATTGCTCAAATCTCAAGACATTTCCAGATGTGTCATGGAACGTACAAGAGTTGTTTTTAGATAGAACTGCAGTAGAAAAGTTGCCCTCATCAATAGAGAATCTATCTAGACTAGTTAAATTGAATCTCGAAAAATGTTTAAGGCTAGAGAATCTCCCGAGCAATATCTATGAGTTGAAATCTCTTCAACATCTTAATCTCTCGGGCTGTTCAAAACTTGATGGATTTCCTGAATGCTTGAGAAATTTAGAAGATCTGAAGGTGCTTAAAGCAGGGAAAGTTGCCAGAAGAGAGGTACTCTCATCCAATTTATGTGTGCGGTTCCTGCTGGAACTAAATCTGACCGATTGTTGTGTCAGGGAGTTACCTAATAGTCTTGGTCAGTTACTCTCCCTAAAAAGGTTACTTTTAGGCAGAAACAAATTTGAGAGAATACCAACTAGCATCATACACCTTTCTAAGTTGTCTTATCTTGAATTGGGTTACTGTGAGAGGCTGCAATCCTTACCCCAGCTTCCATGCCAACTACAATATATAGATGCACACAATTGCACAACATTGGAAGCACCCTCAAGTTTATCAATTCCTTACCGATCTTATTTGGGAAACGTGAGAGTTAACTTCTTCAATTGTTCCAAACTGGCCCAAAATGCACTTGGAGACTTTATGAAAGATCCTCTACTGAAAATTCCGCGGTTTGAAGTTTATAAGGTCTCTCTCTTGAAATAGCTAGATGCTGTTAATTTCATTTTACTATTATATATATAATATGATGTTAGAGTTGACATTTAATTTCTTTGTAATAATGTTCTTTGTACAGGAATTTTATCCAAGACCTAGCGCTAGTATTTGTTTCCCAGGAACTAAAATTCCAGAGTGGTATAGTTCTCGAAGTTCAGGGTCTTTGATAAATCTCGAGCTGCAATCAAATTGGTTGAATCCCAGCTTTTTTAATTTTGCTATGTGCGCTGTTGTAGAATTTCGAAACTATCACAATGAAGGCCAGGGTTTGGTTGTTGGCTGTGAATGCAAGCTCAAAACTAACGATGAAATAGTATTATACCATGGCACTTTGAAGGGTTGGCACTATAATAGTGGACCTGAAAATGTTAACTCAGATCACATATTCATGGGATATGATCTCCATATGTGTCCCTCTGGTTACTATGATAAGATTACCATCCAATTTTATGATGAGGATTTGAATAATAAACGCATAGACTGTTGCAATGTGAAAGAGTGTGGGATCCATTTATTGCATCCAGAAATCAATAAGGAGGAAGAACCATTCCCCAAATTGAAGATTTCAAGGTAATTTCTCCCTCTTTACTTTATACCATATGCATTTTGTTACTTCTTTAATTTCTTGTTCATAATTGTTTCTAAATAGTTTTCTTGTAAGTTTGTAAGTTTTTTTTTTTCCTTTTTTTTTTTCTTTTGGTTAAATGTGTGCTATAAGGACTTATATTAAGACTACTAATTGAACAAAAAATTAATTAAATTGGTTAAAAATGCATTTTTAAAATAAAATAGATTGAAATACCAAAGGGTGCATTTGTTTCATTATTTCATATCCTATCAATCCTATTCTCAATATACGTGTTTGTTTTATTATTTAGGAAATACTATTATATTATATTAAATTATTTTTAGACCCCTTAAGTTTATTAACTTAATTAAACAACAGCAGAAAAAAGTATTTAAAAATTAATAATAACAACCCCACCTATCCATAGTTGCCAAATTCTGGCAACCATCGTCGGTGGTGGCCAGAATTTGTCACAACGACCTAAAAACTACCAGAATTGGCCGTTTATTCACCGATCTAGCCTTTTCATCCATGGTAGATCTGGTCATAAAGGGCTAGATCCATGGTGGATCTGGTCAGAAAATGCCAAATCTGACTATTAGCGAAGGCCAAAGAAATGGCCATCGTTGACGGTTAACGACGACCATATCTTTGGTCGTCTTTGATGGCTAGATCTGGGTGTAGATCTGGCCTTTTGCGGCTAGATCCAATCAGTTTGCATTATAATGGCAGATTCCGACTAGATTTCGACGATGGTGGCTGGAATCTGGCACTGTGGTGGGTGGGAGTTTTTTTTATCATTTTACAAAATTTTTATATATTGGGGTGTTTAGTTAAATTAACAAACCTAGGAGGTTTTATTGTTAATTTTTAAATTTTACCTCGCAATAATCACCTTATTCAACTTCCTAATATTATTCCCAAAATCTTATCCAAAATAACAATATAGACGCACCCAAAATTTTTATTATGTTTTTGTTTATTCTTTCATAGTGAATCTTGAAGTAATGTCTCCCTTTTTAGTCTCTCTATCTATCTATCTATCTATATCTATATCTATATATATATATATATATATGTTTTTTTTTTTTTTTTTCTTTACTCCACTTATGAAGTAATAAAACAAGTGTAAGTGAAAGGTAGAAATGATTTTTCTTTTGGGTGATAGAACTAGATACAAATGATGTAGAGAGATAAACCATATGAAAATTGGGGAGAGACAAATAGAAGAAGAGATGTGAGAGAGAGAATTTGGTTAAAACTCAAAAGGAAAATGTTATATGAGGCCTGACTTTTTAATTTTTTTTTTTTTTTTGTTTTTGTTTTGAGTAATACTATAATTACAAACTTTTTCATGTGTAAAAGATAATTATATGATTTTAAATTAAAAATAAATTAAATAATTAAAAGAAATTCCATGACAACCATGCAAAGTTGTCATTTCAGTTTGCATGAGAGAGTTTGTATAAAAAGTGTGGAACTGTTGTATTATTTTTTTGTTTTTATTATATTTTTAATTTTTTATCGAAAGTATACATATTCTCAACCGTTAGATTTGTTACAATGGAGAGCATTTGGTCTAGGTTTAAGCAAAATTCGGGTGGTCACACTTGAGTTCCATTGTATTTTTTATAAATATAAAAGTTTCGTATGATAAATGGTTGTTACTTTACAATGAATTAAATTAATAATTAAGCAAAGAAAAAAAAAAAAAAAGAACAACGATGACAAAAGTGCTATAATAACGCTATTTGTTGTTTATGTTCTTATTTAAAATCCTAATGAGCTGAATTTTGTTTCCTTTTTGGCAACATTAACATATTATAAAGAAATAATATTTATTCGAGGAAGAGGAAGAGGAATCAAATTCCGAAGGATTGAAGAGGAAGAGGAAGAGGAAGAAATCTAACTCAAAAGGTTAATTAAAAGATTACATCTACAATACGATTCCATCTTTAGATCTCATTTTGCTTCTATGTGTTTGGTTCAATGTATCATGTACATATATTTTGTTTCTATATGTTTGGTTTCAATGCATCGCTTTTAATATGTTATTCTTTTACTAGATCTTGAGTGAAATCTGAAGAGAAGATCTTATTCCTTGATGAGGGAATATTAAAAGAATTCCTTGAGGTTTGGGATAATTGTAATGCCCCACCTCCCCTGCAAGGTATTGTCCGATCTGGCTCGGCACATCGGAGCTCACGGGCCTCACAGTTTTGTCCTCTTGCAGCCCATATACTACAAAAGGTGCCTCGCAGGTGGGTAAGGAATCATCACTTCTATGGCACTTCACGCTTTCACAACCAGGCGATGTGTGATCCTACACTCCCCACTTTTGGGACCAACTGATACACAATCATCACCAACTCCAATTTTAAAGTTCAAGATTGTACGCTGAATGATTGCACATGAATTCGATTGGTGTTATGACTGTTGCCTGAGGCTGAAACCTTAACCCCCTTGCGCTTTCATATTGTAGCATACTTGCATTCATTGATAACAATATGGAACATCTAACTATTTAATGAGGTTAATCCATTTATCACAATATTATTGCATGTTAATAGAAACGTCATTAACATGCTCAAAGAGAAGCTAATTTCCAGAATATTTTTTTGGGTAGTCAGGGCGTCTAGTCCAACTTACTATGTACCTCAACTAATCTTAGAAATCCATTGAACACTTTACAAGCGCAAAGGATCAGGTAATCCACATTGTTATTGTGGTAAGTAGTCCCAAGATTTGAACACAGAAACTTAAAGAATAATACTGTGCGTACTAACGGATTTTACTAACCAATGTACTAACCTTTGTTAAAATCACACAAAGTACTCGTACTATGCGCATGGTACCCGTACTATGCTTTAACTTAGTACACTAGTTTGTAGAATCCATTAGTACCCATAGCATTACCCAAACTTAAATCCTCTTTACTGCCAAGCCAACCTCTTGAGGTTTAAATTTATAATTTTAAGAGTATTACCTTTTTTTTTTTTTTTTTTTTTTAATGACCGAAGTGTTCGGCTAGTTTACATACATCTCAACTAATCTCTGGGATTCATTAAATACCTTATAAGCCTAATGTTCCAAGGTAAGCCACAGATGTGGTAGGTGACCCTAAAGTAGTTTGAACCTAGAAAATATATGAAAGGAGCAAACCTTCTTGATCATTAGGCCAATCCCTTAGGGTTTTATTTCCAGAATTTTCAATAACATTATAATCTATCTTGCTTGTCAACTAAAATTTCATTATCCAAACTAGCAATTGGAAGATTACATATTTTACATGCAGATGAAAATGTTGTCTATCTTGATTACCTTTTTGAATAAGGATGTATACTTTTCAACCATAGGCATGTGGACATATGTTATTCAAATGAATGTGTGGTTTTACATTATGAATAATCTTTAACATTTAGGTGCAAATAAAAGCTACTAATAATGACAATTAAACTGACTTAATACACTTTCATTATTAAAAACATTTTTGTCGATGTTTATTATAGTCTGTTTGACTCGGTCAAGGCATGTTACTACTGTTTGACTTGGTCAAATAATATTTTAATTATTAAAAAACATTTTTGATGATGAGAAACATATCAATTAATAAATAAAAAACATTTCAAAATCATGGAAACATTTTAAATACTTCTTGTAACAATTCATGGAAAGACAAATAACACAAAGGGCGAGTGTACATACATATTTCATTCAAATATATTTCTTTAATTGCTTTAGATTGTCATACTTTATTCAAAGGGTTATGGTGTGCATCACAAAAGAAAATTTGGTTTGTTCATGTTAGATGACAATTTCACACAAGAGGATGAGCTCCATGCAGTTGAATTTAGCTCAGTATAAGAAAGAGGAAAAATAAATTAAGTTAAAAATATTAAAGTCTAAAATGTGTGGAGTTTTGGCAGCTTTGATGGTTTTTGTCTTTTTCTATAACTAGCTAGGACATGGCATGATGGAGATAACTATATAACGATGTGGCCTGCGACATGCATTTTAAGCTATAGCGAATTAAATTCGGACAACTGTTATATAATATTTTTCTAGTAATCGGATAATCGAGTTAGTTTGTGTGTGTATTTAAAATAATTCTCGGAATCCATTGAATAGTTTATAAACTTAAAAGACTGAATAAATTACAACTATTATATAGTTTTGTACTTGCTAATTAGATTATGGTAATAAAAATTTTGACATAACTTTTTGTATTGATGCAACATAATTGGTAGACTATTACTTTCTAACTTAAAGCTTTCACGTGGATTAACAATTTAATATAGTATTAAAGGTTTCATATTCGAATCTTCACATTCAACTGCATAAAAAAATAAATTTCAGAGTTCACTTGAGGGCCCTAATAGATTAAAATGCAAATGTTACAAAAGTTTCCTCAAAACATAGAGAGAAATTATATAATATCATTTGGCCCTATTTTAGGTTGAGAATTGATAACTAGCCATTTTGGAAAAGTATCTCACAAAATAGCACTTTCTCATTCAACGCAGTTTTAAAGGACGAAAATGCCCTCATTCACAGCCTTAAACCCTTAATCAAAACTCATTTTTTAACCCTTATAACTCATCTACCCCATTCTCCATTACTATAATCCCTACCAAATAGTGGAATATTTATAATATGATTTCTCAAAAATAGAGATGGAAGCATATGGATTGGCAAATAAGATTATATTGCAGTTAAAAAAAATTATAGCAATTCAATCTTATTTAGTGATCTCCAGTTTCCATTTCGGTTGTTTCTTTACTATTAGAATAAGATTTGATGGATTTTTCAGAAAAATAATAGTTTATTATTTCAAATCTCTTTGGCCTCGTATTGTCATGTATATGCCTTATAGTTAATATTCTTCTGGGGCAACTATCAAAGAGTAATGAGCTTGCATATATAATAATTAATATTGTAAAACGTACGACAACGTCTTGTAACAATATGAAATACAAAGACACAATAACGATTTTCGCCATCTATAACATATTCTTATAATGCAAACAACTTCATGTATTTTTCACTACACCAAACAGCTATTAGGCTGAACGAAACCGGAAGCAGATCCATCAGCATGGCTGCATGAAGCTTCAGCTGGTTTATTCTGATAAGTGAGCTTTACGTTGTCCAAGGTTATCCCAGAACATGGATTCTCCGAACTGCAATCAAACTTAACACCAACTTCGGTCGCAGATGTTCCATGAATATCTTGGAATGTCACGTCACTTATTTTAACCCCCGAAGCCTGTTACATATATAATTCAAGTAAACCGAAGACATTGAAAATATTGTATTGTGAAGGATGAATTTTCGTTACGTCGAGTCTTAAAATATATAGGAACAGTTATATGAAATGAGTTATCCATGTATAAACTTGTGGTGATGTTACCTGTCCAGGGCAGTTTTCCTCATCAGGGCAGTAATTTTGATCGATAACGATAGGATTCTGGACATTGTTCATGATGGCATGTTGAAAAAGAATGTTTCTAGCAAAACCACTGCTAGGTCTCCCCCAAGATTTTATCCTCACTCCATTTTCAGTACCTGTAAATGTTACAGTTTTTACGGTCACATTTTGCACTCCAGCCTCTTCTTGTTCCTTGCCAAGACTACCAACGCTGCAACAATAACGGAACATCACAAACTCAGAACTGAAAATACTACAATTAATTAGAAATAACCATATCTGATTGTCTTGTTTTTCAAAATTTTACCTGATCCCATGGCCACGACCACAAGCAACATTCTCAATCCATAAATTGGTAGTACCAGGGCCAATTGAAGCGCAATCATCACCAGTCCCAACCCTGGAGTTCAAGATTGTAACACCGCTCGATGATTGCACATGAATTCCATCGGTGTTAGGGCTGTTGCCTGAGGCTGAAACCTTAACCCCTTGGGCTTTCACATTGTTGCATCCATTGATAACAATATGAAACATCTGGCTATTCAACGATGTCAATCCATTTATCACAATATTGTTCGAGTTGCTGAACTCCAGCGTCTGCACATTAAACCCAAGAATGGAAGCTTGTTAAGATAATAAATTTACCCAAAATGGAAGATACTTTAGTACATAAACATCAATCTTTAAACTTACCGTGGCACCACTGGGGCAACTTTTCCCTGTCTTCTTACAAGTCCACAAGCCAGTACCTTGGCCATCAAGAGTGCCACCATTAATAGAAACGCCATTAACATGTTCAAAGAGAATCCAGTTGTCAGCATTTCCAATAACGTTATAATCTGATGGAGATACAAGAGTGCCATCAATACGTATGGTAATATCATTGTTCTTGCATTCGCCTTTGAACTCAACTTTGCCCAGCAAGAACCTTCCTTGTGGCACGTAAATGGTGGCGGCCTCAGTCGAGCCACAGGATTTAGTCCATGCAGCTAAAAAAGCTTGTGTTGAGTCAGTTTTGCCATCGGCTTTGGCTCCTAAACTGACCACATCGTAGGTCACAGGACTTGATAAAGATGAAGTAACGAATAGGATTGAAATAAGTAAAGAATGAGGGAACTCATAGGTTTTGCCATTAATTTCTTCTTGATGATTATAAGGAGACTGAAGAAAAGAATAGAGAAATTGAGGAGAGTTTGAAGGTTAGTGATGGAGTTGAAATGGCGTATTGCATGGAGTATTTATAGGCTTAAAAGCAGGTCGCGACAACAGGAAATTCGAAAAGGTAGCGTGTTACAACATTTACACACATAGCATGTAGTTGAATAGTCTGTCTATCGTTGCTTGTCAAATAAAATTTCATTAACCACGAGCAATTTAAGTCAATTCATTGGAATATTAGATTACTTGCTCCTTTTATGCACAAGCATGTGATTTTTTTTTTTTTTTAATGTAC